TACGCTGGCTGTCGAAAGGCTTATGTTTGACAAGATTTTTTGCAGTTTTTGAGACTATTTCAGAATTTCTGGATACTAAAGATACAATTTTAAAAGAAAATTTAATGAAGAGGAAAACAGACATCGCCTATTCAACAGATTTGTTTACAAAATTTAATATGGTTAATTTGCAATTACAAGGCGACAGTTTAAATTTGATTAAAACAAAGTTCATCTTATCAGCGTTTCTTGTCAGAGTTAAACTAATGAAGCAAAATATTGGACGGGGCGAATTTTCTCAGTTCCCCAATTTGTCACAGACAAGCTGCCAAGAAGACGACGTTTCAATTTACGTTCACCATTTAAATGCCCTCTATTCAGATTTTGAATCTAGGTTTGAGGATATTTTGACTATGGTAATACCACCATGGATAATTAATCCATATGGTGACATAGAAGAAACGAATATCATAATACAAGAGGAACTGACTGAACTAAGTACAAACGAAGAACTTAAGGTTCAGTTCAAAAACGGATATCAGCAATTCTGGCTGCAAAACAACATACCCGTTACTTATCCCGTATTATGGAATATAGCGAGGAAATTGTTAATTTCCTTTCCATCGTCATACCTAGTGGAAAGGGGGTTCAGCGCTGTTACCAATCTCCTAACAAAAAAAAACGGACTGGACATCATTAGCCGAGGAGATTTAAGATTAACCCTTACAAAATTGACGCCAAATGTTGATAATTTATTATTAAGGCATCAGGTTCATCCTTCTCACTAAAAATATTGACTTATTGCTTATGTTATTTTATTTATAGTTTATTTTATGTTTATTGGTATCTGACCAATAAATGCCCGCATTTCGAATAAGTGCCCGCATTGATTTTTTTAAAGAACCCCCCTTATAGAAAAAATTTTTTTTTCAATTATTCTGAAAATTCAAGGATAGGTACACACTAAAATTCGTTAATTTTTTGCCTATTTTTAGATAACTTAAACGTATAAGAAGCAGAATTTAATCAAACTAACAGTGAAATTATTGTAGAACATACGTGTATGTTATAATTAATAAACGAACTCGCTTATTGTACTATTTTAAGTAAAAAACCTTTTTTTTTATTTTTCACTTTTTTTTTTATTTAATCCCTCTTATTTTTTTTCCAATGCGGGCACTTATTCCCAATGCGGACACTTATTGGTCAGACACCTGTTTATTTAATGTTACGCATATTTTACATAACAGATACAAAATTTTATTTTGAGTAGTTTTAATTTAAATTTAATTAATAAATGTATAAATTAACATGTGTTTTTACTTTAAGTTTTTAACATTAAACTTCACTACAGGAAATCAATATCAGGTAAGTAGGGGGTCTATCCAACACGGAAAAACATAGCAAGGGGTCAACGACACAAAAAAGTTTGGGGAACTCTGCTCTAGATCTATGAAAAATTTGTGTACTTTTCTCTTAAAGCTGTTTTACTGTTAATTATGTGTGCTATATGCCTCCTCTTAGGACGAGTCCTATGTAATTTTTCATGATTTACGAGGCAATGAATGTATCTGTCTATCTCAAATCGGGTAGCATTTGAGTATTAGGAATAGAACTACTATACTATGGACGAAAAAGCTTTGTAGGTTTTGAAAATTGATTTACTAGCGACGGTGTAACGAGCAAAATAATAATGTTAATTTTTAGACTTTTTGGAGTCGTTGAAAATTGGGAATTTGGGGTTACAGGGTGGCGCTTGTAGATATTGCATTCTTATTACAAGGAAACGACGTTCTATTAATACGAAATGGCTGACATCGGTAACGCAAGGCACCTATCAGATATAATAATCACGCATATTTTCTTCTTTACATCTGCCATTGAAATGGAAATGTGATAATTTGTCCTATATACATCAAGATTCATTGTACGCAAGTAACGTATCTAGAAAAGCGAAAGGTGTTCAGTCAATAAACCTTTTGCTATCTTTGCGTAGTTTATCGGATATAAATCAAGAAATGGTGCATGCTTACGAATATCAATGTGCGTTTCAAAAATGGTGGAAGTGCTACTTTGTTCCTTCCAATCCGAAACCGTGTACAGACTACTGATAGCTGGGCCACTGGAGTTCTTGGGCCCGGTTTTACTATCCAAGAAGCAAAATTTGCTTCTAGGGCGCAAATTAGGCCTATCGAAAAGCGCTTTTGAAGTAATGGATGTAATGAATATTTATAGTACGTAACTTATAAAATATGTCAAATTAGAGAAAAAAAGCAATACGATTTGTCTATGTGGCCCTGATTCTCATATTAAATCAAGAAATACTGCATATATGACCCCTACTCCCAAGAATTTGTGCACTGCCCGAAACACTCATCAAACCCGATGCAATACTAAACATTTTATTCAAAATAGCAGTGACACTACTTACGTGAGAGATAGTTTTTAGAAAAAGGATATATTTATCTCATTTATCTCTATAGTAAATTGATAAATAGAAGAAGCATTATTCTTAGAAATCTGGGGCATAATAATAAGCTTACCATGCCTTTGCAGTACACCGCATTGCTTCAAAATTGTTTTACTTTCAATACAGTAAGTCTACCGACCCTGCCTGGAGAAGCAAAAGTGTTCTAATACTCATGAAGCTGCTTCACAATCTGCTGTTAGATCTGTTGTAAATAGTTGCTAGAATCTTTTCTTTTTTTGTATATTCATCCAGTCATTATTAGTTCTCATATGGTTCCTCTTTGGTAAAGCAACATAGCATGGATTTGTCAGTTGAATACTTTGTTTCTCTTTTTCATTAGTTTACTGAGTTGAACATCAAACCGATTTATCTATTTTTAGGACGGTATGTATCTTTTTTATATTGTATGTACATATTTCCTAGCACAATAGTTTGGTGTGAGAGTAGCCAACTGACTAAACTTCACCTTATTGTTGTGATTCAAATAAATACATTTGTTTATCATTTACCAGTTTATTAACATGGCCCTTGAGTGGTCATATAATGTTGAAATCGTGAACTAATTCTAGCTATTCAAATGAGAGTTTTTCATATTAAACTAAATGATGTAGTTTGATTCATCTATTAGAACTAGTGTCAGCTAGAAAATCTTGATGAATATTTTTGATATATCGGCCTCCCAATTGAGCTGTTAAGCTGGGTTAAGAGACAAAGCATTGTTGTGAAAGTTGGCAACAAAAATCCAATAAAAGACTGGAGTTTGAGGAAATATGTAATAATAATAATTTATTAGTGTTGAATACACAAGTAGTATAGAATGCGTATAAGCTGACACACTAGACTGGGGATAATGTACTTGTAATTTTTGATCATCGGTTTTGATAAAGTTAAGTTAGATTTCGAGATATAAGAATACGAGTATCTCAGTCGCTCTTTTGAAACTACAGATCACTTTCATGGTGTAAGAAAGTATCCATTACGTTGCGATTGTGGAATGGTATTCAAAGCCTGTGAAGATTATTGATTTGATTTTGACGATGGACGATGTGTACAAATGGGAAGCGCTTCTAGAGCGTTGAAAAAGTGGGCTAAGGTTATACCAATATCCTGTTGATGGCATTGGTGTCGTTGCGCGAAGGCGGCGCCTGTCTGGCTAGAAGGACCCTCGATCGAGAATCGAAATACTTATCGGCACGCATCATCTACGTGCAGTGGTGAAAAAAATTCAAAACATCGTTGTCCTTATACTTCCAGGGCAGCGGAACTAGCTACGGGCGTAGTTAAGGGTGAAAAAGGGAAGCGGAAGTCTCCATACCTATCGAAGTTTTTTATTCCTTAAGCTGCAGATCCACAATGAGATTTTTTTGAATATTTTCTTCTCGTGAAATAAAAATCTGATGAACAGTATTATTTCTTTGTGGGAACAGGCGTGAGGTGTCTCATGATACATTTATTGCACTTGCTGTACGTGGAGTTATGTTGTTATATACAAGCCCCTTCCCACTTCAGTTGGCCCAACTATTGAAATCATAGTTTTTTTCTTATCAAACACAAATAATGAAAATGTCGCAGGGTGTTATAGGTTTAAAATATGGCTGTGGAAAATAAAAGCCATGACAATTGTCTTTATTAATCACAGCTGTCAGAATACGTTTAAAATAGTTTTGGGTAGTTAAGGTTTTCAAAATGGGTAGAGGAAAGGTTATTAGTGAGAAAATTCGGTTACTGATAATTAAATTTTTTAATTCTGGGAAATCAAACTCAAAAATTGCAACTTTGTTAGGCTTACCGCGCGGTACAGTGTGAGAAATATTTTCAGAAGATATAACGTAACTGGTTCAGATAATATTAAGCCACGATAGGTGAAAAAAGGTAATATCACAAATGCCGACCGAAGAGCATTAAGAAGAATAATCGTGAAAAACAGGCGTGCCAATTATTTACAATTAAGTGCTCTGTGGAGTGTCGCTGTTGGAAGAAGAATTTCGAGGTCCACAACTCATAGAGAGGCCCACAAACTGGGATTTAGCACTTGCAAGGTAAGTTCTCTTATAAAAAAAAATTGAAGTAAAAACCCTAAAGTTGCACAACTTGTTTATAGGCCAAAGAAAAGCCACTATTAACTCCACTGCAAAAGAAAAATCGGCTTAGATGGGCTAAAGAACATAGACAATGGACACCTCAAGAATGGTGTGCAATACAATGGAGTGATGAGGCCCAATTCGAAGTTTGTGTTGGTGACAGTCGCAGTAGAGTTATTCGCAAAAAAATGAAGCATTCCATGTTGACTTTCTGAAGATAAAAGTGAAATTTCCAGCATCCATTATGGTCTGGGGCAGTATGTCATCAAAAAGGAGTAGGAAAACTTCATTTTATTGATGGAAATGTGGATACAAACAAATATTTAGCAATTTTAGAAGAATCGCTTTTACCAGTGATGAATGAATGTTTGACATCCGGCCAAGATTTTGTGTTTCAGCAAGATGGTGCAGCGTGCCATACCTCAAAAAAGGCTATAAAATGGATGGAAGAAAATAATGTACCACTTTTAAAATGGGTTTCTAGCAGTCCAGATCTGTCACCTATTGAAACTTTGTGGACGAGATGAAAAAGGTTCTACGACAACATCCTGCTCGTAAAATCACTGAACTGAGACAAAAGCTTCAAGAAATATGGGATTGTTTTACACCAAATTTTTGCTAAAACTTGGTTAAGAATTTCAGCCGTAATAAAAAATAAAGGTGATGTTACCCAATGGTAATCTTTCGATTGTTGCTTTGTTAACTTCGCGCATTTATTCGCACATTGCTTATTTGTTCAGATGTTCTATTAGTTATAGGTCTAAGTGATTTCAAATATGTATTTTTTACGACTAGAGTGTATCTAAAATGTTTTTGAGAAAATAAATTGTTTTAGAAGTAAATAGTTTCGTCAGGTTTAGTTTATAAAGGCATATTTTGGTAGAAATCTTGAAGTGGGCCAACTGAAGTGGGAAGGGGCTCGTATAGTGACGTAAAACTTGTGTTTGCGGAAATGAGTGTGCCAAGTAAAAAGAGAGGTTTAAAAAGGAAAATTTCTAGTTTCAGTTGCACAAGATCCATGATAGAGGAGATAACAGAGTTATATGAATCTGATCCCAATTTGCGGGACTGTTCGCCAGAAATCCACAAAAATAGAAATCTGACAAAATCAGCCATGGACAAAAATCGACCAGTTGCTAGAATTAAACTTAGCATATGTGTGTATTGTTTTTCCATTGCAAGCTTGAATTTGTCCAGAAAATACCGAAAGTCAGCAACGGACGTTCAAAGAAAGTTTATATAATATACCTGATCTTCCAATTCTAGTTGGTCTAATAATGTTTCCATTATGTTGTTATTTTTTTCTTTTCTTAATCCAAACTCTCACTCAATATTTGTGAAGCATCTTGTATACAGTACAGGAATTAACAGCAAAATAATAACAAGCAGCCGCTTTTCTTCTATGCTTTCTTGGCATCTTTAACCCGCAATTATTGGATAATGATCAATACTTTTAAAAGGGTTGTGTGTTGATCTTTTGCTGGCAAAAAGGCTTGTAATAGATGCTTTTCTGGATTCGATTGTTATTTCTCATTGAGACAAACATCTCTTGAAATGTTAGTCTCCTTGTGATCACTTAGCTTGATAATATTTCCCTAATATTATATACAGGGTGTCCCGAAAAAAGTATGCAATATTCTACCAGCGGTTTCTAGAGCTTAAAATAGGAAGAACAGTTTATTTAAGCATAGGTCGACAAACGTCCCCTAAGGGCGCTACGGTCTGTTAAAGGGGCTCCCCTGAAGATGGTTTTTCCTTAATATTTCCGAAACGTGTTGAGATATAGACATAAAATTTGGTATTCTGGCCTAGTTTTTTATGCTGCATTTAAAAATATTAACAATTTTAGACAGTTTTGTTTGGACGCGTATGTAACAGGGACGGACTCAGGTTATTAGAGCACCAAAATTTTTGTGTGATTCTATTTTTGAAATTCAATTTTAGAATTTGAAAATTTAGGGTTTTCTACATAAAAAGGTACTCTTATTGAATATCGATATTGTGCTATTTTTGAATAAAATCAAAGTAAAGAATTTGTCACATGATAGGAAATGTACTGCGAATTTAAATGAATTGTTGAATAATTAGCCATGGCAACGATAAAACTAATTTAATAATTGGTAAATATTACATAAATACATATTTCTATTGCAACATAGCTAACATTTAGGCATAAACAAAAGAAATAAATGTTTTCTACGGACGAAATTGAAATTTGTTTAAAAAAGAACAGTTGGATATACTTAAAACTAGCTTTACAATAAGTGTTCAAATAAATTCCCATTTTGTTGGATACAGAGTCTCGCTCGACGAACTAATGATTGCGTAGCCCGAAAAGTGGAAAACCTTTTTCTTCTTATTTCATTTGCAGCCTGATGGATTCTTTGAAGTAATTCTTCTTGAGTATTTACTTCAGTCGAGTAAACTAGGTGTTTTAATGACCCCCAAAAATAGAAATCCAATGGATTTAGGTCAGGTGAACGTGGCGGCCACGCTATAGGTCCTCCTCGGCCTAACCACCTGTCTGGAAAATTGACATTCAACCAATTTCGAACATTGCGTCCAAAGTGTGCAGGGACGCCATCATGTTGAGAAAACATATTTTCTTGAAACTGCTGGGGTACATCCAATGGTATTATATCCATGAGCTCATTCTGAAGAAAGTTCCGATACACCTCTGAATTAAGACGATTGGGAAGTACAATAGGCCCAATTACTTGATCCCCAATTACTCCTGCCCATAAGTTCAATGAAAATCTATGTTGGAAATTTGTACGGCGAACAACTTTTGGATCTTCATCTGACCAGTGATGCATGTTATGGAAATTAAAAGCACCATTCCTAGTAAATATTGACTCATCCGACCATAATATTCTAGGAATAGTGTTTTCATTTGCTAATATCCACTGGCAAAACTCGATTCGTGGTAAAAAATCTGCCTCCGTTAAATGATGCACCCATTTAAAATGATAAGGATGTAATTCTTGCATTCTTGTCATTCTTCCTATCTAAAATTATTATTTTTAGGACAACTGTCAAATAGGCATTCATAAATTTTTCTTACTATTGATCGAGGTATATCCATAATTTCTGAAACATTTCGTATGGTTATTTGCGGATTATTTTCAAACATATTTAAAGCAATATCCATACGATGCTTTCCCAGTGGCCTTCCTGAGCCCTGCATGCGCTGCAAACTTCCATGGTTTGACAAATAGCGGTGAATATCAGTAAACATTCGACTTCCAGGTACTATGCGATTGGGAAATCTTTTTTGATATTCTATTACGGCTGCCAATGAACTGCCATTGCAAAACCCGTACACAAAATGCATGTCAGTCAGTCCTCTGTCTGTAAATCTTGGCATTTTAAATCGATTTAATAAAAATTTTGATTTAAATCTAGTAATTTTACACTGCTAACAATGTCAGCTTAACGTCAAAATAAGTCACAACAAATCAAAACAATTTTTGTTTGCAGTCATGGCTAACTATGTACAATCAACAATTCATTTAAATTTGCAGTACATTTCCTATCATGTGACAATTTTTTTAGTTTGATTTTATTCAAAAATGTCACAATTTATCGATATTCAATAAGAGTACCTTTTTTATGTAGAAAACCCTAAATTATCAAATTCTAAAATTGAATTTAAAAAATAGAATCACACAAAAATGTTGGGGCTAAAATAACCTGAGACCGTTCCTGTTACATACGCTTAAAAACAAAACTGTCTAAAATTGTTAATATTTTTAAATCCAGCATAAAAAACTAGGCTAGAATACCAAATTTTATGTCTTTATCTCAACACGTTTCGGAAATATTAAGGAAAAACCATCTTCAGGGGAGCCCCTTTAAAAGACTGTAGCGCCCTTAGGGGACGTTTGTCGACCTATGTTTATATAAACTTTTCTTCCTATTTTAAACTCTAGAAACCGCTGGTAGAATATTGCACATTTTTTTCGTATATATCTCACCTAACATTTGCCTCTGCTTCTCTCACGGTCTCAGTCTCAGATGAGAGCAAAAATTGCAAGTAGTTAACTCGCGTGTTCCAGTAACTGTTGCACCCAAATTTTTAGTTTCTTCCCAGTTCCTGTCATCATCTTCCTCAGTTTAGCCAGATCCAATTAGTTGAACTATAAAAATAATATTTTGAATCGTCATAAAAAACAGTTTTTGATCGGTTGGTAGAATAATGAATAGATAGGTCGGGGGTGCTTAATCCTTCCTTGACTTCCCATGCAGTACCGAAAATCAGCTCTCAATTACTGTTTGATACTTGTTGCCTTCACCAGGAACAAAAACGGCGTCAAACAAGCACTCTCTTTCCCACGCAATTTTGTCATCAATTAGAATTAAATTCATTTAGACAACATATAGTATGTGTATAGATGTTAGCGCTGAGGCCGACCTCGTGCCCTGAAGCCATGGGCGGCTCCGGTGGGTCAGTAGGCCAAGGAAATCCTACAATTTTGGCAACAATAATATTTTTTTTGTGGTATCGTTAGATTATTGCTTTCCAATGATATGTTCAAATTGGCGTGATTACAGAGCTGAAGCATTTGTCGCCATATTGATAAACGCGTTTGGTCGAGAATCTTGGAAACCATCACTCCTATGTAAAAAAGTGATAGAAACAATTTTACAGGGAATCGAATTCATTTAGCTTCAATAAGAAATTGCCTTATATTGAACGTTAATTCACATGTGAGTGAATCCATTCTTTACAAGCACGGGAAATGTAATACTTTTTGATAGTTTATGATCATGAAGAGCATCAGTCTATCTATTGGGGATTTCGTTACTTAGAAATTTCAGTAGACGATGCAGCGATTTCAAAGGAAGGGGAGATATGGTAAATAATGGTAGTTAGCGCCAATTACTCCCTTTCCAGTAAACTTTTCATTTTCCAATTTTTTAACCATATCTGTCATTGAAAAAACCTCGTAAGTCCCGAACTTTGAGTTTTCTATCAGAAATTGGTTTTGCATAATTGCGTATGATTCATTTCAATTCTAGCTATACGGACAGATGCTTGAAAATAATCAGCGTACATTGAAATAACTTTCTTTCAAACAAATATTAATGTATTATAAACGGCTTGTACATGAATTTAGTTGATGCAGAGACAGTTGTCTTAGGGCCAACACCCCAGTCTATATTTTCTAATATTTTATCAGATGGACTAGTCTTTTTTGTCAGATATTACTTTCAACATTTGCAACTTCTTTGCAGTATGCAAATGGCAATATGCGGCACTCCCCCAACTCAGAATAGCGTATCTTAGGCGTGATTCAGCTAATGAATAATACAACATTTTCAGGTACATGTAGTTTATGAGATTTTTTAGGTATTTAAAGAGATATAAGAGTTGTCGTAAGGTATTTGTAACGTTAGTTATACAAAGGGTACTATAAAAGCTTTGCAATATGAGAACAAAACGAACGCAGGAGGCGGCATGTAAATGCATGTTGAGACATGTCCATGAGTGCATAGTAGCCGCCAGCAATACGTCTGCCGATTCGTATTGACAGTGTGAAGTGCGGACTATGGCATCGTGGTCACGTAGTATTGACTTACGAAATGAATACCTGCAAGCAGGTTGTTCGCACTTTCTGTTTCAGAAAACCTTTAGGCGGAGGGGTTAGTGGAGTCTCAATGAACCACAATTGATACAAAATTAATAAATCGAACGTCAAAAACTGCGGGAGTTATGCTATGAAGAAGTGAAGTTTATTTTGAGGTTCTATGGCACTGTCTGTGCTAGAGAAATGAGGAAGTTTCGGGATTTGAATTACTGAATAGTGGGGGTTGGGGAAGGCGTTTGGCAGTTAGAAGTATACATCTAATATAACTCCAATACATAGCCAGTAGAACGGAGAAGAACTTCAGACTGCACTAGACATACACTAGAAGCAACTACTACTATGTTACCTCCGGTATAGACGAGCTTACAGATGCAAATCTCCTCGTCTACTGGATAATGATAATGATAATAATAATAATAATAATAATACCAGTGATAATTGGTTCATTGGGAGCAATTAAAAAGGGAATGCATACGTAATTAGATCAAATACCAGAAAAGCCAGATATCTATGAACTGCAGAAGATTGCACTGCTAAGATCAGCCCACATCCCGAGGAGAGTATTAACATAAGAGCCAGGCTATACCTCAAAACCCTTGTTTTGTTACTGTGGCCGATACTGTCCAATCAGTAGAGGTCGAGAGTATGTAATTAAAAAATAATAATAATAAATTAGTATTATAGTTATATAATAATAATAATCATAATAATAACCTAGAGAGTGTATAAATTGTGCCAGTAGTCTTGTCTGCAACGGGTGTTAATCCGAAAGAGCTTCAGCGCAGCCTGGAGATGTTAAACACACCAAAAGATGTATACTTAATCCTACAGAAAGTTGTTATTCTGAACACAACGAATAGTACGAAAATCCTTGAGTCAACAGTAGATGAAGATATTTGGTATCGATCCGTACCTTATCGAGAATACCGGCTTATAGCCAAGAATCAGAGGGATTAATAATAATAATAATGATTATTCCAGTGGATTACAAGGGTTTGGGAAACGTCGCAAATACAAATCTAAAACGTATACAGACAGATTAAGAAATAAGTAGCACATGTACAAACAGATTAAAATCATTATGACATACATGTATATATATATATATATATATATATATATATATATCACATATCTAAGAGTTTCGTTAGATCATGCGTTTTCTTCGAAATACATATACAGTTCTGTTTTTAACTGTCTTCTATTATATAACTTGGTTGACATATATTTTGGAGGTGACCAAGCGTGAGTAGACAAAGCTAGGGCGTCTCTGTTTCTAGTTTCATAGCTCAAAGCCGGAATTATCGTAATGCAAAATTTTTTGCATTTGCTGCGCTCGTACGGGTGATTGATGGAAATAAAATTATAAAAAACAGAGTTTATATTTTTCTAATCATACAATAGGAATTACTTGTTGTGACCATATGGTTACACTAGGTCATTGAGGCAAAACAATAAAATTGTCATTGCTTATGAAATATGACGAAACACTCGACGCACAGGCCAACTCCACATTTTGCACATTGTGTCCGGCCAACAGATGAGCATCCCTCTCCAGCACATCTTCTACGTTTCTTGTTAGGGACATGTTCAATTAGATGATTTACAGTATCATACCTTATATCGTCCGAGACTCGGTTCAGTGATACACTGTATTTGCTGGTCGATGGTCTACCAGCTCCTTTGGGGCTGTTTTTGAACTTTTTGAGATAAGTAGTGGCTATTTCTCTTCGAAAATTCAAGTTTGTTGACTGCCTTCCGGAGCATTTATACAGAATCCAGGCATTATTTATAGCTGCATCAACTAACCAGGTTAGTATTGACCAGTACCATTTTTTACTTCGAATGCTTATTCGGTATCGGACTAAATCTTCGTCCATTCGATCGGTCCCACCCATATATTTATTATACATTCCAATTGCATGTGGGCGTGGAACTTGTATGATTTTCTTTTCTGTTTGGGAGTATCTTTTGACCTGCTGAATGGGATTCATACCGTAGGAAGTTGAGGCCACCGTGACAACGGCGTTATCAATCCACCTCATCAAAATGATACCATCCTCCTTATCAATTTTTGCCACCAAAGTTCCTCTATTTGCCTTAGTCATAGATTTCTTTTCAAGAGGAAAGTCTTTAGGGACTCGATTCTCTCTTATGGTTCCTGTCACACCATATCCCCTCTCTTTCAAATAGACTAGTAAATTGAAACTAGTAAAAAGATTATCTACATAAAGTTGGTAAGGCAGGTTCCGTGTAGGTAACTTATCTAGCATAACAACAAGCGGAGCCGCAGCTTTTCCAAAAGCTGCCTCATACGGTTCGTTTGGTCGTGGCGATTTACCTTGATAGATATCAAAGTTTACAAGGTAGCTGTTTTCAGAGTTCAGGCACCACACTTTGTAACCAAATCGAATTGGCTTTCCTCTAATGAACTGTTTGCAGTTATGTCGACCAAAGTATTTCATCATGGATTCATCATAGTTCATATGTTCTGTTGGCCTGTAATATTTTAAAAAGGATTCCTGTAACCTAGTGATAATAGGACGTAGCTTCCACATTTTATCCTGGGGATCCATTTTGGTATTATCAGCGCAGTGCACAAACCGCATTATTTGAATAAATCAGTCCCGACGCATCGCTTCTTTTATCATGCCATTGGACATGTCTTCTCCAGAATCCCAATAAAATCTTTTTCCTGGAAGAATATTGTAACCAGAAACGATAAGTATGGCCAGAAAACATCTAAGTTCTTCCATAGTAACCTGTAGATCTGGACAGGTCGAAAATAAGGCGTACTTTTTTGTTTCCTCCAAAATGTACAGCATCATACCTTCATCAAAGAATAATTCGAACAAACCGGCTGGGCTCATATCACGAAATTCAGAGAAGTCCGGTGCAGGAAAATGAGACGATTTTGTCATATCTCCATCTAACCATGTCCTCTTGTCATATTTTCTCCCCTTTAACGTTCTCAGTAGCTCTTCATGCGCTTCGATGCCTAACTCTGATAGAGGTTGCGAGTCATCAACAACGTCTTCTTCCTCCAGATCTGCTCCAGTCGGTTGGTCAACTCCACGGACGTGGATCTCAGCATCTGATAACAGTTGTCTTCCTGAAAGATCATCTATAAGTCCACCATCATCTTCGTCTGCCGAGTCCTCATCAGTTAGCACATTTGGTTCTGGTGGGCTTATATATATGTCGGGTACTTCATCCTCATCGTCATTGAAGATCATATCAAGCGCCTGTTGCAGCGAAAAGCCCTTTCTAAAAACAAAAATTTATGCTAACGTATTGACCTAGTGTGACCATTCGGTAACAAGCAGATTTAGCCATGGACAGTGCGAAAATGTATAGGTTATGTTGAGTGACGCATATGTTATGCTATTTGCTATGATTTCATTTATTAATACCATCACTTAAATATGAAACAGATTCTACAGTAAAAATTGTAATGATTACTTACGCCCACCTCGGCTCCATTATTTTGAAAAGATAATTGTCTTAAACTTTGAAACACGTTGTCTGTTTGAATATTTGTGCGAACGGGTTGAGGCTAACAGAACGTCTAACGCGCTCCATCTATATGCGGTTTATTCAAGTAAGCACCGAAAAAAGTACAGAGATTTGCTTAAAACGACCTTCGAAATAGCGTCTGTTGATGTGACCAAATGGTCACGCCAGGTTTTGATGGGTTTTAAATCAGCATTTGTAGCAAACTCATTTAAAGTTTGTTTTGCATACATTCAGTTCAGCCATATAAATTGGTGGTAGCGTGAGTCATGTTTCCTGTTTAAACCAAGACCTGCATAACTCTCTAGACGATAAACCAAACAAGGTCCTAATTCCTCTTTTTTGGCAATATAAGAACTCTTGATAAAAATCGAGATGAACGCTAAAATAACAAACAAACCTTATCAATGTGTCGGGAACGATCTCCAGAAAGAACAACCCAAACATAAACTTGTTCCGTAATGATGTTCACTTTGTTCCGTCTTAAGAGGAAAAAATATGTATAATGAAAATCTGTAGGTGCAAATGAACGGGCAATCTATGAGATGTGAAATATGCTTAAAAAGTGCGTAAAATTGTCGTATTAATGTACCAATAATCTTTTACCACCAACATTTTTTCAAGGACGTCATAAAAACGAAGATTGAACGATTTTTATTTTTTCGTTTTTGGCATTTTTCTGTGCATGACATATAACATCCAAGAAAACAATATCTCATTTTATACTTCATACATTTTATACTTCCTTGAGCAGTGGTTGCAGTAAGAACATGTACCTGAGTGGTTTTTGAGAAGAACGATGCAATGTCATCCCTTGGTTTGCCTGGTGTAATGACAAACCCTGTAAACAGACGCCTTCCAGACTAGCCTTTCCAGATTTCGATTGGCGGCTACGATCGACCAGGCGCTCGCGGACGGATTGGCGACTCGCTATCAACCGAGGCACGCGTCACGTCCACGAACCTCAAAACAGTTCCTGAACGCTTTTCGCGCGGGAAAACACGGCACCGAGATCGCATTTCCGCTTGGCGCTTAACGCGCTCGCCTGCCTGATTGCGTTATTATATCCAGGCAGTTTTTCGAATGCACTTCGTTAGCCAGTATTTGACAGGGAGAAAATGGACATAGGGTCGTGTCAGCATGGACGGTGAGTGAGCTGTTTTCGTCAATTGCAATTAGATTGAAAAAGTTTCCGGTAGTTGCAGGAAGCTGCAATTTCAAAGTTCTATTCTATAGCTTCAGTATCATATTATTGAATATTTAGAAATAAGATAAAAAGCGTCGATCCAAATATTAGCTCTGCAGTTTCTCGAGAAGTAAAAAGAGAAAAAAATACAGGAAAAGTTCATATAAACATGGGTAATAAAATGCCAAGATAAAGGGTGTTTTTTCGAAATCTAGAATAAATGATATCTCATATATGGATCAAAATATTGACTTGAAATTTACTGACGTCAGCAAATGAGAATCTTTTACCAGTACAGAAGAAAGAAGAAAACTATTATCTACGCCACTGACTCTTTTGAAAGAGCTAACTTTTTCTCAGAGTCGCGTCTTGGGAATTTTTTGTCAGACTACTCCTTTTGGAGAAACAATGTTTTAAATGTTTTGAGATAATATGCGTAGAAAAAGCATAAATCGTCCTACTTGGAAAATACGCTGAAGTTTAACGTTGAAAAATCTATGTACCTAATGCATTATTTTTCATTATTACCAGTGAATGGAGAAACTTACCTTGTATCTAGGTAAGAGCGAAATATAAAGGGGCACTTTTTTGTTATTTTTGGGTGTACTTCCTACTGTAGAAAGATTGTCATGTTTTTCTGAAACGTATTGAATAGATCAAAAATGGGTTTTTGCATTTTCAGCTGCGTATGTAAAGGAAGACTTCTTACAGAAACATTGTGAGTTTGATAGACATAATGATACTAGGCGATTTGATATTAATTCACAAGAGTGTAATTGAATTAAAACAGGACTGCAATACTAACGCATTTTCACTTTCCAACAAGCTTACCATCATGGTGCTATGAGTCTTCTGTATATTACCATTTCGTCATTAAGTAATCTCAATAAACGACAGAACAGATGTTGGTAATATTTTAGGAACGACAGGTGTTTGGAGTAATGCTTCTTTCTCTTCAAGAATCTGTGCTGCGAATATATGAACCAAAAAAAATATCAGATTATCCCCAACCCGGATTTGGCATTTCTGCCTTCTTGACATCTTATAGTTTTTAATCACAACCAGAAAAAAATGTGAATAAATTGAGTATTTATTTTTTCATACCTCCTCTAGCTCTAATCACACTTGGTAAAGTCTATTGAGGCTGCTGAGATATTCATATTTTCTATGTACTTGCTTAGTTTGCATATAACGTTGCGTAGAGAGTATCGAGGCAATCTGCTTAACTCAATTCTTTAAACTTTAAACTATACTTGGGAACCAAAACGGAAGAGAGTAGTGGAATTCATCGTACACCTTTAAATCGTCAAAGTCGATGCGCGCTGATCCACCATGGTCAAAGAGGCAGTGGCTTACAATGTGTTATGCTGCTCTCTTCCACTTTGGTACTCCATTGTACAAATCTTTTAGTTTTTCCGAGTTATGTTTTAATCATGATCTAACGCGCATACAGAGATCCTTTGGTATAGAAAAGAGTCCTAGATGGTTATACAAGCGTACTCATAAGCATGTAGAATTTAGCTAAAAGGTTGAAAAATTCGACTTAAGAGCACAACCGTTAGTTGACGAATTTAAGGAAAACCACTCAGCAACGAGGCATCCCTAATCCGTTGGATTATTGAGGACAGATAGGTACATCAATCTAATCAATAGTTTTTTAGACAGTTTGTCAATAAATGATAAAGATATGTTACAATTACAAACAGTATTATTTCACAGAAAATATCGATATAGATAGATATTATATATTATAGGCGCAATTGAATATGACAAGATATCAGATTTTTTTAATGAAGTAATACGGATTCTAAAATAAATATTCAAGACATCCAATTTATCGAAAACAGTATCATTGCTCATAGCAGACTAACTTACAGACATAAGTAATAGGTAGGGCTTGTATCAACTATACATTGCCTTTCTACAAGGCCCTCTCACTTAATTGTTTAATCGAGTCAAATTTACATGGGTTGAAATGGGGAATAATAAAATTTATTCCTGGTTACTATATTTTCGTGTGAAAGTTACAATTGATAATTTAAGATGAGGGCTGTGGCTATACTTTAACATTTGATTAGAATAGTGGATCATAAGATACCCGATTATAAAGCTCCTTATAACCCTAGAAAATTAATGTACTGTCTTTCAAAATGGCGGACTCATGGGCTACCAAAGTTGAACCTCTAAATAATGGACATTATGTTTGAAAAATTAACAGATTGACAATTTTTCTTAATATGTTACATTTTTCATCATATGTTCGGAAAGGTTCGTTTTAAGAAAAGTGGACTTATATACAGGGTGTCCAATAAGTACCACGACAAACTTAAGGAGAAGTTAGGCTCCCAAATAACAAAAACTTACCCATATAAAAGTGTCACCGTTTTTGAGACATTGAATTTTTTCTTAAATTTTAAAAAACGAACCTTTTCATCTGTGGTCTTTAGCTGCATGTACAAATAAGGTTATACTTTGTCCATGTTTTCTATAAAGTACTTCTAGATGATAAAGCAACTATCTAGAAGTATTTTATAGAAAAAATGATAAAGTATAACCTTATTTGTACATGCAGCTAAAGACCACAGATAAAAAGGTTAGTTTTTTTTTTAAATTTAAGAAAAAATTCAATATCTCAAAAACGGTGACACTTTTATATGGGTAAGTTTTTGTTATTTGGGAGCCTAACTTCTCCTTAAGTTTGTCGTGGTACTTATTCGACACCCTGTATAACTTACTATAGCGTTTCGCTGATTGGTTGTTGAATCATAAGCCTTTCAGTGTACAAAAACCATCAACGGCAACAAGCTGCCAGTCTGCGATTTTTAGAGATACTGATTTTATATTCTTATATTTCAAAGTACACATGAGTAACTTTAAAATGACATACTGCATGGTCCCTATTCCATTTAGAAGAATGTTCCGAGATGACGACCTACCGCCATCTTTCAATTTCGTCTGTCACTTTTACGCCAAAATATATTGTTTATGCATCAGTTCCATGACCTTGAATTTCAGCTCGCCAACTTGTGAAGTACAAAAAATAAGTAGGGAGGCTTTTTGTAAAGTACTGTTATTGGAGTGCCGTCCATACGGGCCAATATTTTGTATTCTCGAGCACGCAGAAAACCACCAGCTTGGACAAAAATGTTTTTTTCTTCTGTAGGAATACAAAGATGCAGTTTTCACGCGGCATTGTTTCAACTCCATCTATCTGTGTATAGAAGTTTTTTAGATTTTATATGTCATTTCAGGTGTCATTTTTGCCACTGTTTCTATATCACGCTATATACGCATTTATTTATATGTTAAAGAAGCTACCTAATAGATCCAGATCTCAAACTTGAGTTTCATTTTGAAACACTGCCTAATCTTGAATATATGAAATAATACTATCCAACAATTTTCCATGATTAAATATTTGAAGACTAGTGATATTTTAGGCAAAGCCGTTGCATGCAAAGCAGAAACTTTCTCCAGCTGCTCCTACTGTGTACCTACGCATCGCGCTCAAAATAACGGCCGAGGTCTCCCAATACGTATTGATTGTAAAAGCGTAAGCATTATTTCA